TGTCAATGTGTTCGCAATAGAATGTTCTATGAGCCCGTAGGTAAAAAAAATCAACAAAGCGTAAGATAGAATAGCGCCAAATATAAAACAACGCTGGAACATATCAGTGAGAGTCAAACACACACGAAATGTTTTTACTTTTGTTATGTTTGTGAACCTTTCATGAACTTATTGTACCATGCAGCCTATTGGTGAGAAAGAGAGCCTCATGGCGCGCAGTTTGAAACAAACCCAAAGTAAATCGGATAAAAAATGAATTTTATACAAATATTTTAAAAGAGGACATAAATTTATGTCCACCTAGCGGGAGCGGGTAGGCGAAACAGGACGCCGGGAGGAGTCCTCATCCGCAGAAAGTGTTAACTTTCTGGCATCAGTCAATGCATGGAGTTCTTGCCTACTGGGGACCACGAGCCAGAACCTGGCCCCCACTAGAGAGGCAGGAGGAGCAATGTCCTATAGAGACCCCCCCTTATGATTGGGAGTATTCTATGTCTGCCATTGACTGGGATAGGTAAACTATTGCGACTGAAGAGCGAATAAGTGGACAGAACTCTCCAAACGAAAATTAGCAAACAAGCATGACGTCATCATGTTGCCGCAATGCTGTCTGCGCAACCCCCCCCTCCCCGGGAGGGGAAAGAGGGGAGCTCCAGACCCCACCGTTGGCGACTCAACCATTAGTTCTTAGGCTGATGGGATCTGGTGCGGTCGTGCCTCTGCCTCCAGTTTTCCGTTGCAGTTCTGTGCCTTGTGGTGTGAGCTGTCCCTTCTGGTGGTGCGTGGGTCAGGAGCGATATTCTACGGTACTCGGGCTGCATGCGCCTAGGGTCACCTTCCCTAGGTTCCCTGTAAGTACTTCCCTTGGGGCTTAGGGCCACCTTCCCTGGGTCACCTTGGGATCTACCTCCGCTGTACCGTTTACTGCTCGGTACTTGGCCGCCCTTGAGGTCAGCTGAGGTTTTTTCTTGCCCTTGTTTGTCTCTGGGAAAGGGGTAGTTTTCATCACTGGCAGGGGCGCAGGGTACTGCATAGCTAGTTTTCACCATTAACAGTGGCCAGCTCTGTTCTGCCCGGGTACGTTGTCCTCTTACGAGGTTTTTCTTTTGTTTTTGTTTTCTGCCTGGTGGGGGGTCTGCTTGTTGGTCCCCCATTGCTGTTCTTGGGGTATATCTATATCTTTATCTCCACCTTGTGTTGGTGGTCCTCCCCGTTTGACAGGGAGATGAGGGGGCGGCTCGCCCGGTTTGCTCACACCTGGTCCCACGATTCCTGGGCTTTTCGTTTCGTACGGCCTGTGGTGGCATTGGGTGGCTCCTCCCTCGGGGGCTCGGGGCTGGCGGGGCAGGCCTCTTCTCCTGAGCTCTGTTGGGTAGTCTCGGTGTGGGTTCGCTTGGGTGTGGTCGAAACGATGACGTCCCTCAGGTGGGTTTCCCACCTGTTTCCAGTACCGAAACGGGTTTGCGCGGACCTCCAGTTCATTCTGGACTTGTCCCGTCTGAACCCGTGGGTTTTTTGCCCCTCCTTCCGGATGACTACTCTGTCCCAGGTCCGTCTCTTGGAATGTGTCCCTGGATCTCAAGGGCGCGCATTGGCATGTCCCGGTTCATCCGGGGTTCAGGGACTGGCTCGGTTTTGTTGTGGGGCATCAAGGTTACCGCTTTTGTTGCCTTCCTTTCGGGTTGAATCTGGCACCTCGTGTTTTCACACGCCTTACTCGGGTCGTTGTGACCCACCTGCGTCTGCTAGGTGTTCGGGTGCTGGCCTACTACTGGCTGGTTTGGGCTCCCAGCCGGTCCACATGTCTGCTCACTAGGGATTTTGGTTCTTTCCCAGCTCGCCGGGTTTGGGTTCTTGGTGAACTGGAGGAAGTTCTATCTGGTTCCCTCTCAGGTTCGGTCTTGGCTGGGTCTGGTTTGGGACGCTCGCACTGCTTCCTTGTCTCTACCTCCGGCGGCTCTGTTGCGCCTGCGGTTCCACCTTTGCCTGTTTTTGAGGGGTTCCCATGTCACGAGGCGGTTACTCGAGAGTTTGTGCAGAAGCCTGAACTTTGCCATGATGGTCTACCCGCTGGGTCGGGTGTAGCTTGGTCGGCTGTTCTGGTTCCTTCGGGGATGGCCCTTCCGCCTCTCTCGCGATGGTTGGGTTCAGCCTCCGGGGGCTTTGTGTCGGTTGCTGCGTCGCCGGCTTCCTCTAAGGGTTTTTCGGGGGTTCGTTGCCTTGGCGCCTTCCCAAGCCCTCACTCGATGTGTACATGGATACGTCGTCTCTTGGCTGGGGTTTTGTGACCAGTGCTCACCAGGCCGGCCAAGGTTGGTGGGGTCCGTCCTTCCGTCGGGCTCACAGCTCGGTACAGGAGTTCGTGGCGGTGTGGATGTCGCTCCGGAGGGTTAGAGTCGCTCACGGATCGACGATCCGGCTCCATTCGGACTGCTCCCCGGTGGTTCATTGTCTGAATTGCGGGGGTTCAATGCGGTCCTTGGCTCTTTGGGGCTGGTCGCTTCGGGTGACTCGTCTGCTGAGTTCTCGGGGTTTGGCTCTCCTGGTGGCTCACGTCTGGAGGGTGTCCAATGTCCTGGTGGTCGGCCTGTCCCGGTTCCTTCCCCTTTCCACAGAATGGACGGTCGATGCCGACTCCTTCAGTTGGCTGTGCCGGACGTTCGGGACTCCGGACATGGATCTCTTTGTGTCGGCGTGGTCGAGGCGTCTCCCGGTATACGTGGCGCCTTTCCTTGACTGTGAGGCCGTTGGGGTCGATGCCTTCAGGCAGGACTGGGCGAGCTGGGGTTACCTGTACCTCTTTCCCCCGGTTCTGCTGTTGCTCCAGGTCCTGGCTTGCTTGGAGACTTACTAGGGTCGAGTTGTCCTTCTGGCTCCATGGTGGCCAGCCCAGACTTGGTTTCAGGCGCTGCTTGCTCGATGTCCGAACTCGAGGGTCTTCCCGTGGCTCCACCTTTTTCAGCAGATCGGTCCAGCCCTGTACAAGGCAGGTTCGGTCTTCTCCTCGAGTCTTCTCGTCGGGTGCTTTTGACTGGTTTATCATTTCTTGTATAGTGTGCAGGTGGCTTCGTGTTGGTCTCCCACCTGTGTGCTTCGTCTCGGCGGCAGTATGAAGTTTCCTGGTGGTCCTTCCAGTTTTTCCTATCACTGCGTAGGTATTCTTCGGTCTCTGATAGCGTTGTAATGTCCTTTCTCTCTTGGTTATTTCAGGACCGTCATCTTATGCCGAATACTGTCGCCTCGTATTGTACGGCGTTGGCGGAGCCGCTTTAACTTGCTTTCGGTGTTGTTATTTCTGCCATGTTTCGCAAGCTATCTTGTGCGTTGTGTCACCTCCGGCCTGCTCATGCGCCGCCTGAGCGGTCTTGGTCCTTGGATCGCATGCTCTCGTTTCTCTCTTCTTCTCGGTTTGTTGTGGCCCCTTTTGTTCGGGATTGTTTTTCTAAGGCTCCTTTCCTTGTGGCATTGGCCTCTGGGGGTCAGGTAGGGGAGCTTCATGCTCTCCTCCGGCGCAGAGGTTTCTGCTCGTTCAGTCCTGGTGGTCGTATTGTTTGCTTGCAGTCGTCTCCCTCTTTTCTGGCAAAGAATGAGATGGCTGCGTTCCGGAGGGGGCTGTGGGTTGTTGATGCTTGGTCAGGCCGGGGGTGCATCATGTGTTGTGTCCGGTTGCGGCTCTCAAACGTTATTTGCGCGCCACGGCTTCGGTTGCCGGGGATGCACTCTGGGTTGATCCAGTTTCCCTTCTTCTCTGTTCCCAGGCTCGAGTCTCTCAGGTCATCCTCAGGGTTATTAAGTGTAGCCAGCCTGCGGTTTTTCCCCAGGCCCACGACGTTCGTAAATTTGCTGCTTTGGCTGCGGTCTTTGGCAAGATGTTTTTGGTGGACATTCGGACCCGGGGTTTTTGGAGATCGAACAGGGTCCTGGCTGCTCCCCACCTGGTGAATGTTCCTGGGTCTGGTCGGGGCTGCGTTGCTTTGGGTCGGCGGTTGCAGCCAGTTATCTCGATTTTGCGTTGAGGAGTGATTACAGACCGCCTCCCGGGTAAGTCCCTGTTTTTTCCTTATCTTTGGGTAGTTAGCTCCGTGGAGCCGACAGGGTTCCCCTCAGAAAACCAGCGTTGAATGTAATGAAATGCCATTTTCTGGGTGAGTCGTGGAGGCTCCCAGGCTCCCTCTGGGAGGGAGGCTCAAAGAGCCTCAAAAAATCAAAGGCTCCCTCTCCAGTCGGTGGTGTTTTCGCGTTTTTTGACATCCAGCCTAAGAACTAACGGTTGGGTCGTCGACAGTGGGGTCTGGAGCTCCCCCTTCCCTCTCCTGGGGAGGGTGGGGGGGGGGGTTGTGCAGACAGCAGGGTTGCGACATGACATCATGCTTGTTTGCTAATTTTCGTTTGGGGAGTTCTGTCCACTTGTTCGGTCTTCGGTTGCAATAGTTTACCAGAAAAGGGGTTTGTTTTGGGGTACCTACCTTTCTGGGTGCCTATCCTGGTCGATGGCAGACATAGAATGCTCCCAGTCATAAGGGGGGTCTCTATAGGCCATTGCTCCTCGTGCCTCTAGAGGGGGCCAGGTTCTGGCTTGTGGTCCCCGGTAGGCAAGAACTCCATGCATTGACTGATGCCAGAAAGTTATACATATCCATTCAGCCTGGATAGCTCCGAGAAGCCTCCGGGAGTCGCCCAGAAAATGGCGTTTCATTACATTCAATGCTGGTTTTTTGCCAGACTATTGTGGCTAAAATATGTCACCTACGATTGTTTTGTTATTTTTCCGTGATCAGGGAACACAAATGAACACTTGTATAAGACGAAAGAATTTTTTGGGATTTTTTTTTTTCCGCCTGTGGGTGTTGAAGCCATTTGAACCCCTTGCGGTTTGAGGGGTTAATATGGTTGGAGCAGTAAATGTGGCTTAATATGGCTGGAGCAGTAAATGTGTCTTAATATGGTTGCAACAGTGACGTGATCCTCAACATAACCTGCTTGTTGTCTGTCCCCCACAGGAAATGGCCCATGCCCAAGATCGGCGTGCCAGATGGTTGCCATGTCTGATGGTCGAGTGCTGATGTACGGTGGCTACAGCAAAGAGAAGATCAAGAAGGATGCTGATAAGGGAGTTACACATTCAGACATGTTCATCCTAGCACCAGACAGTGAGTTGAGGATGACAAGTAAACACTATACGCACACATTACACATGTAAACTGGGAACTATTCTGGTTGGGACATCAACTCCAGTCTATAGGTCTTCTGCAGTTGACAATAATCTTATGTCCTTCTGTTCTTATGTAGAAAGGAGACAATATTTTGGTGTGTCCTGAACCAGGTTAAACCAAACATCATTACCTCGACATGTTTCCAACGTATGGATTTTGTTTATTTATTATATCCAGAACGTTGATTCTGTGAACCTCGTTTCGGCAAATCTCCAGTTGCACCGCACACTTTCCAGGTGAGATTTACTAGCCTTATTCATTGAACAAAAGTTCGCTGAAGCGGGAGATGTGCAGATTTGCTTAGGATGTTGGGCTAGAGTTCTCAGACTGGTGGGAAAGCTGCCCATCATATGATAGGTCGAAATTAAAATTTCCCTCTGTGAAATTACCCCATAGAGTGTGGGCAATATTAGGGTATGCAATGTAACTTTATAATATTATTCTTATCATGTTTTTAATTATTTTCATAGATGCAACATTAAAAAAACAAAAAAGGCTGGAGCCTTGGGGTAAGCTGTTGAAATATTTAAAACTAAATTCTATGGTTCATTTTAATTTTGAGTTGCAGTAATTTTCACTGACTAAAGTATGGGCCTTCTAGCAGTGAAAATGAGATTTCAAGACTGGGAAATATGCTATAAGTGGTGAAATTACATTATGGACAGACTGAAATATGTTGAAATAAAAGTTTTGCTCGGTGAAATCAGTTCATAAAGCATAGGTTATATTAGGATATGAATGTATCTATCTTAATATGGGTACAATTATATTTTCTGTGGGGAGCCCCTACGGCTCCCTGGAGCTTATCGGGCTAATGTATGTTATATTAGACCAGGACATTAGCTAAGGAGTTCAGACCTACCAGGGACCAGCGCCAGAACCTGGCCCCTTCAGAGAGGTATCAGGGAGCAATGGCCCTGGAAAACCCCCTTGTGGTTGGGGTTTTTCCTTATCTGCCATTGACCGGGATTAGGCACCCAGAAAGGTAGGCATAACAAAACAAACCCCACATGGTAAAAAACTAAAACAAAAAACCGAACAGAGAGGTAGAAACTCCCTACAATCCCAAGGAAACGCGCAAACATCACACTTTACTGCCACGCTGATCATCCGCACAGCCTTCCCCGCCCCGAGAGGGGGAGGGGGAGCCCTGGACCTACCGCGCCGGCTGCCTAGCATCAGTTCGTAAGCTAATGTCAACCGGGATAGACGCTTCTCTGGCCTCAGTTTCCTAGGCGGTGTTTGCCTTGTGTGGCATTCACTGCCGTGTGTTGTGTTGTGCGGTGGCCAGGAGTACTTCATCAGTTCCGGGGCTGCATGTGCTTAGTGGCTGACTTACCTAAGCGCCCTGTGAGTACTGCCTTGCATAACAGGGTTATCTTCCCTGGGGCGTTCGGGAACCATTCCCGTAGAGGTTCTTGCTACTCAGCATTTGCCTCGCCCTTGGGGCCAGCTGGGGCTTGGGGCCCTTGTTTGGCCCTGGGTAGGGACTGGTATTATGCTGGTAAGGGCGTCAAGGTGTTGTGCAACCTGCCACCTACGCGGCGACCAGTTCCTGTTGCCTCTGGAGACGGTGTACTTTTGCGGGGTTTTTCTTTTGTTTTTATTTTCAATTGCCTGGTGGGAGTCTGCCTAGCATGGCTATAGTTCCACTGGTAGTGTTTGGTGGCCCTCTGCTAGGCCCCCGTGATTGTACACGTCGCAGAGGTTTTCAGTGTTGTCCTCTACCCTCTTGTTATTTTTGGGTTTCTTAACTGGTTAGCAACACCTTGCCCGGGCTTCCCGTAGTAGTCCGCCTACGGGCCCTTGAAACCCCTGACGGGGCTCGGTGGACCATTGAATGTGCCCTCCGGGTTCCAACCCGTCTTATACGGGATTGTTGGTTGCTGTGCCCTTGTCTCCGGGTGACAGTCGCCACTTTTACCTCCATCGTGCTGCCTGTTGGGTCACTGACACCTTGACTCGGAGTCTTGTGAGAGAGATTCTCTGCTTGTTCTCCAGTACTTTTCTGATGTTATTACTGTTCAGAGTACAGTACAGGTGGTATCTGTGTTGCAAGCTAGGTTAGGTTGCTGCAAAACGCTAGGTTGGTTTCCCACTTGGATGCCCTGGGGCTGCCCCCGTTTTGGTGCTGTTCGCCCCTTTCCCTCCCTGTTCCCGGCTCCGGACCGTCTGCGGGTTTCGGGGTCGGGGCGGGGTTTAGTTGGGGCTGAGACTCGGCGGTTTTCAGGGGCTGCTGCGTTCGGGTTAGGGACGGAGATTTTCGAGCCTGTTCCTCCTGCCAAGGCTTCTGGGTCTTACCAGCGGCCCTTTCTTGCTGCCTTTCCCATGGACTTGCTTTTCTTTAAGGGCGGAGGGCTTGGAGGACGGCTCTACCCCGGCGCCTCTGTTGCGGGTTCCTGGGGCTGTGGGGAATGCCTGCTAGCAGTTCTGGGGCGGTTTACCTTTGCCTGGGTTTTCTGCTTCTGGGCAGAGTTTTTCACCCATCCAGTCTGCTTGCATCCCACTTTTGCTGGCGTGTTTTCGTATCTTTAGCGTCGGTCACATCCCTCTGTTCTGGTGGCCATTTTCTTCTGCCGGTTTCCCGGAGTGGACACCAGGGCGGCGTTGCAGTTTGTTTACATGCGCCTGGGTGTGCGAGCAAGCGTCTTGGGTGAGTTTTCACCTTTTTCATGGGTTTTATTCTCCTGTTGTCGTTTCTTTGCTTTTCTGGTGTTTTCTGCTCATTTCCTGTTCCTCTGGGAACGTTTGAGTGTTGATTTTACATCAGGTTTTCCGTTTTGTCTGTTTTGGGTCTGGGCCCTTGGGTTTGGGCTCAGTGTCCCTGTCTGTTATGCTTGCTCCCACACCTTGTCCCTCGGTTTTCAGTCTGTTTTGACCGTTTCCCTGGGGGTTCTGTCTGGGGTCTGTGCTTTGCCTTTCTGTGGTGTATCTCTGCCGGCAAATGTGGTGGTTTGGGCTCCCCCTGGTTCGATTCCGGGTTCGTTTGGGTTCTTTGGTTTCGTTTTATAGGTTTTCTCCTCTTGGGCCCCCTTTGTGGGTTCAGGGGGCTTTGTTTCCTTGTGTGTGACCCGGTTCTGCCTTCTGGAGTTTTGGGGTCTTCCTGGCTTGCAGACTGGATCTTTTTGGATCTTGGCACGTGTTATGGTCGTGCTGGGACTTTGAGGTTGTTGTCGAGGTGGGCCTTTTGATGCAGTTTTGTGCCTTCTTCGCCTGGTCGGCGTGGTGCTCTCTGCCCACTGGTCGGTGGCTGGTAAATTTCTTTTCACGTGTATGTGTGTGTGAACACATGTACATTTACATGTGGACACTGTGTGTAATTAGCTAAGTGTAATTACCTAAGTGTAGTTACAGGATGAGAGCTACGCTCGTGGAGTCCCGTCTTCCCAACACTCTTTGTCATATAATGCTTTGAAACTACTGACGGTCTTGGCCTCCACCACCTTCTCACTTAACTTGTTCCAACTGTCTACCACTTTATTTGCGAAGGTGAATTTTCTTATATTTCTTCGGCATCTGTGTTTAGCTAGTTTAAATCTATGACCTCTTGTTCTTGAAGTTCCAGGTCTCAGGAAATCTTCCCTATCGATTTTATCAATTCCTGTTACTATTTTGTATGTGGTGATCATATCACCTTTTTTTCACACCTCGTGTACTCACCTAGTTATGCTTGCGGGGGTTGAGCTCTGGCTCTTTGGTCCCGCCTCTCAACTGTCAATCAACAGGTGTACAGGTTCCTGAGCCTATTGGGCTCTATCATATCTACACTTGAAACTGTGTATGGAGTCAGCCTCCACCACATCACTTCCTAATGCATTCCATTTGTCAACCACTCTGACACTAAAAAAGTTCTTTCTAATATCTCTGTGGCTCATTTGGGCACTCAGTTTCCACCTGCGTCCCCTAGTGCGTGTGCCCCTTGTGTTAAACAGCCTGACTTTATCAACCCTGTCGATTCCCTTGAGGATCTTGAATGTGGTGATCATGTCCCCCCTAACTCTTCTGTCTTCCAACGAAGTGAGGTTTAATTCCCGTAGTCTCTCCTCGTAGCTCATACCTCTCAGCTCGGGTACTAGTCTGGTGGCAAACCTTTGAACCTTTTCCATTTTAGTCTTATGCTTGACTAGATATGGACTCCATGCTGGTGCCGCATACTCCAGGATTGGTCTGACATATGTGGTATATAATGTTCTGAAAGATTCCTTACACAAGTTTCTAAAGGCCGTTCTTATGTTAGCCAACCTGGCATATGCTGCTGCTGTTATCCTCTTGATATGAGCTTCAGGGGACAGGTCTGGTGTGATATCAACCCCCGGTCTTTCTCTCTCTCTGACTCTTGAAGTGTTTCATCTCCCAAGTGATACTTTGTATCTGGTCTCCTGCTTCCTACCCCTATCTTCATTACATTACATTTGCTTGGATTAAACTCTAACAGCCATTTGTTCGACCATTCCTGCAGCTTGTCCAGGTCTTCTTGAAGCCTCAAGCTATCCTCCTCTGTCTTAATCCTTCTCATAATTTTGGCGTCGTCAGCAAACATTGAGAGGAATGAGTCTATACCCTCTGGGAGATCATTTACGTATATCAGAAACAAGATAGGTCCAAGTACAGAGCCCTGTGGGACTCCACTGGTGACTTCACGCCAGTCTGAGGTCTCACCCCTCACTGTAACTCTGCTTCCTATTGTTTAGGTACTCCCTTATCCACTGGAGCGCCCTACCAGTTACTCCTGCCTGTTTCTCCAGCTTATGTACCAACCTTTTATGGGGTACTGTGTCAAAGGCTTTCCGACAGTCCATAAAAATGCAGTCCGCCCACCCTTCTCTTTCTTGTTTAATCTTTGTCACCTGATCGTAGAATTCTATGAAGCCTGTAAGGCAAGATTTACCCTCCCTGAACCCATGTTGATGGGTTGTCATGAAGTCTCTTCTCTCCAG